AAACACTTGACACTTACTAGCTATGTGACCCTGGGCAAGTCACTTAACCCCAATTGCCTTAAAAAAATAAAAATAAAAAAAAAAAGACAAGCAGGAGTTCCAAAAGACCCATGATGTAAAATGTTATCCACTTCCAGAGAAAGAGAACTAATGAACTCTGTGTGCAAATCAGGAAAAAACAACTGGGCTGGAAATATAAATCACTGTGACTTCTTGGCTTTTCTGAACAGAATTCATTCTAGGGAATTCTCTAGATCTTTGCTGAAGAGATGTGGGCAAGGAGCTAGATTCTAATTCTTCCTTCCACTTCAGGATCTTGCCTCCCCTCAGGTTTTTGTTTCAAATTTGTACTAAGGACATGAACTATGCAAAAACCTATTCCTTTAACCCAGGTCCACCTATACCAGAAGACTCTTTGCCCCAGTTTGTAGGAGTAACAGAGCCCAACATAAAATTCCAAAATCCAAAAAAGAAATAGCCTTGAAACCAAGAATAATTACCCTGCAAAGCTTCACATAATCCAGTAAAGAAAAAAATCCAGTTAAAAAAAAAGAAGAAAAAAACTTTAAGGGAATAGAAGATGTTTGAGCATTCCTGACAAAAAAAAGCAGAGCTAAATAGAAACTCTGAAAAACAAACGTAAGATTACAGAGAAATACAGAAAGCTAATTTTATTTGAGCAACTAGAAGGAATTACATGGTGATTGAGTGCTACCATTTTAATTGGAAAACCAAGTGTCCCTTCATAACCTTAATGTTTTCAAAGGGTATTGAGAGAGTTAAATAAGAAAAACAAAGGTCCTGGAGGGTGGATTGGTTCTATTTCGGGGAGCTGAAAAGGGGAAAGGGAAGAGGGTAAAAATAATACACTAGTATAGGAAGAAAGAAGAAAGGAACATGCTGTTTCTCATAATAGAGGCATATGAGAAGAACATACCAAGATGGAAGGGATGAAGTAAAAGAACAGATTAATCTCATTCTTATTTGAAATGGTCAAAGAAGTACTGAACACACATAATTTTGGTGTAGAAATCTATCAAGTTCATTAGGGATACGAGTGGGGATAGGGAGGGTGGATAACAGGAAGAATAATACCACAGAAGGAACAGTCAAAAGCATGCAAACTTTCTGACCCTGAAAACGGGGGTGGAGAGAGGACTAAAAGGAAGATTAAACAACTAGAATCTAAGGGAAGTCCTATCAATTGGAATGCCTGAACAGATTATGGCATATGAATATAATGGAATACTTCTGGACTATAAAAATAACAAAAGAAACAATATCAGAGAATCCTGGCTAATATTAAATTAATGTGGTATGAAGGAGAATAATTAATACATTGACAACAGTGTAAAGAAAAACAGCTCTGAAGGAGTTAAGCATTCTGATCAATTCAATGACTAACCATGTCTCCAGGTAACCTAGGATGAAGCATGTTACCTACAACCTAAGGGGGTGAGAGACTCAAATTAAAAGAGACATACATTTTTGGATATGGCTACTCTGTCGATTCACTGTGTTTGAAGATTGCTTGTTACGAGGGTTTTTCCTCCCTTCCATTCTGTTGGATTTTTTAAGGGAGTTGGGGGAGACAGGGTTAAGTAGTCTATGTACTATGAATCAGAAAATCCACAAGCATTTTTTAAGTGCCTACTGTGTGCCAGGCACTAAGGATAGAAAGAAAAGAAAAAGAAGTACATGAAGGGGAGTAATGCACAATCAGGCTGAAAAGGTAGTCTGGGGACAGGTTGTGAAGAGCTTTAGTTATCAAACAGAGGAGCTTATATTTTATATTAGAAATGAGGGAAAGCCACTGGCACTTACTAAGTAAAGAATTAAAAAATTCAGACCTGCATTTTAAGAGAGTCACTTTGGCAGTTATATGGAGGACGCATTGGCATAAAGAGAAACTTGAAGGAGGGAAAACAAATAAGAGGTCACTGCAATGGTCCAGGCAAGTAGTAATGAGGCCTCAATTAAGGCAAAGAATGAGACTGGAAAGAATGGAATAGATGTGGGATAACAAATGACTGCATACATGGGGGAGAGTCAGAGTAAAAAGTTGAGCATTATATTGAGGATGTGCACCTGAGTGACCTGAACAGTGGTAGTGTCCTCAGAAGAAAGAATGAAGGTCAGAAAATTGGAGAAAGGATTGGAGAAAGGATTCTGTTTTAGACAAGATAATATTGAGATGCCTACAGTACATCTACTTTCAAATATCTAATAGCCAATTAGTGATAATGTACTAGGGATCAGGATAGATATGCAAATCCTCTGCATAGAGATGCATGAGAGCTGATGAAGTCTCATGAAATAATGAATGCAACAGGAGATGACCCAAAGTAAGAGTTTTGAGGTTCACCCATAAGGTATGATATGACTGATAGTTCCAGGGAGGAAAAAAAAGACTAAAAAAGAGAAGAAAGATCAGCTGTTAATGATGTCACCAAAACTCTGAGGACTGAGTATTCAGACAAGAGTGGTCAAATGCTAAAGATAAGTCAAGAAAGATAATGATTGAGAAAAGGACATTGGATTGTGGCAACAAAAGATCAAAGAAAACTTGGAAAGAATAGTTTCAGTTGAGTGATCAAATCCAGCGTACAATCCAGAATACTGAGGTCTGAAGAGTGAGAAGAGAAGCAGAGGTCATGAGTGCTGACAATTCTGTCCAGGAGTTTGGTTGAAAAAAGGGGATACCTTCTGCATAAAAGCTTACCTGGTTCCCCAACTGCCACTTCCCCTCCAAAGTTAGCTTTTTGCAAATGTTTTCTATATACCTGTATACCTATTATCTCCCTTGTTAGAATGTAAGCTCCTTTAGGGCATGGACTATTTCACTTGAGTCTTCTCATTCATAGTGCTGAGCACTTTTCATTGAATATTAAATGCTTAATAAATACTTTATTAATTGACTGACTGAGATACAGGATAATAGTTTGACAGGATAGAGCCTAGTGAGAGTTTTGTAAAAAGAAAGATCTGGCTGTGGTTAGAAGCAACAGAAAAGAAGTCAGCATTTAGGAAGATATTAAAGGTTGTACATAATGAATGGCCCCTATTTTCTTAAGCTTGGAAAGGGAGGCTTGAGAAGAAGAGGGGGAAAAAATACTCTTTTTTAAAAAATGCTGTGAGGGGAGACTAGGTAGCACAGTGGATAGAGCACTGGCCCTGGAGTCAGTTCAAATCCAGCTTCAGACACATAACACTCACTAGCTGTGTGACTCTGGGCAAGTCACTTAGCCCCAACTGCCTCATCAAAAAAAAAAAGTTGTGTTGGAATTGGGAAACAAAATTACTTACAACTAAAAGGACTGCCTTGTTTTAATGAGGGGCCAGTTGAGACAGGTTAACATGAATTTGTAGTTGGCTCAGTCACCAGGTTTCCATGAGTTTGTACACAGCTCTACTCAGCAGCCAAATGAGCAGGTCTAGAGGAGACAGATGGTAGGAAACATCCAAGGTTACGTTGCAAAATATGGAAGAACTAAAGAAGAGAAATTCTATTCTGGAATTGATGCTCATTAATATGAAATAATGTGCTGCTGAGGTGGAAATGACTGATGGAAACTCTAGAGGGAAGTGACCACTCCTTCCTAGTCAATTAATAAGCATTTATTAAGTGCCCACTATGTGACAGCCACCATGTTAAGTACTAGAGATACAAAAAAGAGGCAAAAGACAAGACCCTGCCCTCAAGGAGCTTCCAATACAATAGGGGACTGCCAGAGTTGGAAGGAAGGAAGGAAGGAAGGAAGGAAGGAAGGAAGGAAATTAGAGACAGAAAGAAATACAAGCATAGCCTGACACACACCTAACATTTTGGAAATGCAGATTTCAAGATAGGTAGAATCCCAAAGTAAAATAGTACAGGAGAAACAGCCCAAGAGAGGCAGAAGCTGCTCCAGAATAAAATTCTTAATATACAAGGAAAATTCCATTGAGAAGAAAAAGCAAATTTATCTCAAGAGACATGTGTACATGTATACACATGTGAGTATGCACATCTACACATCTATATGTATGTAAATATGTGTATGTGTGTGTATGTATGTATGTACGTACGTACGTACAAAAGATAGAATCAAGGCCAGATAAAGGGGACTGATAAAGGCATAGTATGTGCCTGTAAAAATAGTGTCAACAATGTTAAAGCTTATAATGAACTGAGGCTGGTGAAGACAAGAAAGAGGAGTTTTTAAAAGCCATACTTGAAGAAAAAAGAGGGAAAGGAACTGTATTTGGGGGTGTAATAGATGATAGCTAATCAAATAAAGAAGGTAGAGCTGTTCAATTCACATTTTGTTTATCTTTTCTCTGCTAAGGTAAAAGGAGCTTTGTACTGAAAATTAAAGAACAACAGGAGAGTGATTCTCAAAATAAGAAGGTAGCAAGAGGGCACAAAACTGCCCATGATGAATTCAAGTCACTTGGCCCAGAGAAATTTACTGTCTATGTTATAGTGGCATTCCTGAGTAGGACCTTTTGTAACCAGAATGCCATTAAGTTGCCTTTCAATTTTCAAGTTCTGTGATCATTACTTTGTAGGGAAAAAATTTTAGTATTAATAATTATATATGCTTACATTTTTTCCACTTGAAATTTTTTTAAAATACCTAGCCTTCTCTACATTTGAGCTTCATTAAGAATAAATGGCTAGCTTCCCAAACGAATTATTTCTGAAAAAGATACTGAGTCACACTTCTTGAAATCTCAATATAAAATTATTCATATAATATTCACTTGGTTAATAGTTTAAAAAAAAAACTCATGCCACTTTAACTAAAAGTAGCTCAGAAACAACATTTTAATTAACCTGTCACCAAGACTTTAGATTACCGACAAACAATGCAGTTCAACTCCAATGATTTTTCATAGAATTATCACCTGAGCTTTGATCACAAGTACATGCAGAACACTGGACACGTAGGATGACATATCTTTAACAAAATGGAGCACAGAAACTGAATATGAAATAACTACATACTTTTACTTACATATTCAGGTTTTAATTTCTTGTCTCCTCCTCTCACAGCCACCTTTTCTAGTTTATCTATTATGGGCATTATCATTTCCTCATCTTTAAGTCGAAGCTCTTCATGTATTATTTCTATATCTCGAACAGGATCTACACTTCCTTCGATGTGAGTGATGTCATCATCTTCAAATGATCCTAAAACATATCAAAGAGTGAAGAAATTCAGCTTACAAGTGATATGCAACAAAATAAGAATAAATATAAACGTAAAATTCACAACTATAAGTCAATCACAACTATACTTAGTATTTTGAATTCTATTTTGGTTCATGATATATTTTATCCCAATTTAGTATTATTGTACATTAACTTTATAAACAAAGTATCTCAAAACAAGTGAGTTTAGCAAGTAAAAAGGAGATTCAAATAGATAAAATTATAAACTTTAAAAGGAGAACATTACTAAATTATAGGAATGTTGCTCCACATTTCAAACATTTAAACATCTCGAATTCCAGCAAGGAATTCTTAAGTTCTGAACTGTACCATTAAGGTTTCTGAGGAAAACAGCTTTTGGGGAGTAGCGGTGGGGGGAGGAGACAAGGCCTGAAATCATCTGGCAGACCTCTTCTCTGCTTCAATCTACTTTATCACTGTGGTTCTGACGGTGATTAGATAATGAACCACTCAGACACACAATTTACACAGCAGCTAATTTCATCGGTCTGATTTGAGGGTATGGTTTTTAGGGGGCTATCAAAGAAGCAGATGAAGGTGCATTTGTCATATATGAGTGACAACCATTCACACCATATGAACAAAATGGTACTGGCCCTTATTAGGAACACATGCTATTATCACATATTTAAAGTGCAGTTGAAGCCATAATTTGAAATTGCCAACTGGAAACATATGGGTAAAACAACCAGATATTACTGAAGCATGTGTACTGACTTTATGCCCTATTGAAGACATAATGCGGCAACATAATTCAACTAGGATTTTCTCAAATTACCAGATAAAGAACAGTATCCTAAAATGAACAAATAAGAATTTTAAACAGAAAGTAGTAATAGGCAGGTAAACGTAAGAAATCCATATACAAATTTCACTGGAGTAATGACCGGCACAAAATAAGACTTAATATTTAAACACCATTTTAAAAACAAAGCTTCATTTCTTTGGGATATCATCATCATCATCATCATCATTATTACTACTACTACTACTACTACTACTACTACTACTACTACTACTACTACTACTACTACTACTACTATACTACTACTACAGGATGATTAAACTTCATATAAAATCAGTTAACATTTTCCATACTCTCAAAACATTGAAAAATAAAATATTCTCCATATATGTTAGAAATAACATTTGGCTTTTTTATAAATAAACAAATATGGGCAGTTTTCCTCTCAAAGTGAAATTATTCAGGCCATCAACACATAACTGTTTAAGATAATCAGGTACAATTTAGCTAGACCTGGCTTACAATAATATAAGTTAATATTAAACAAAAAATTTAGACATTGCTTAAAAAAATACACAGGTTGGGAAGGAAACGCAGGTAAGGGAAAAATAATATTAGGAAAAAAATCTGACTTTTACTTTATCAAAATCTCATTAGTAGCCCCTCACAAATATGCCTCATGATAGATAGAAAGCTGGCCTAAGAGTCAGGAAGACATAAAAAAAAAAAAAGAGGAAGACACAAAGTAAAGTCCTGCCTCTGACACACAATGGCTGTATTACCCTGGACTAGTAAATTAACTTCTCAGAGAAGGTTGACTAGTTCAGATTTGCTTCCAAAATGAACACAATTAGATACCCAAATGAGTGTTTGTTCTATTTCATAACCACATACCAGACCTCTAAACCAAGCTTGCTATTCCATGACATATATTTCATGGTTCACAAGGGAAAACAAGGCAAGAGAAAGTGTAGAGACAAATGCAGCTAGCATCACTATCCTTCAAATTCAAGGGACAGTCTAAGATTTACTTGAAATGAGCCTAAACCAGGGATGGGGAACTTGCAACCCGCAGGCCACAAGTGGCCTTCTAGGTCCTCGGGTGTGGCCTTTTGAATGAGCCCAAGTTTTACAGAACAAACCCTTTTATTAAGGAGATTTGTTCAGTGAAGTTTGGATTCAATTAAAAGGTTGCACTTGAGAACCTAGAGGGCAACATGGGTCTTGAGGCTACAGGTTTCCCACCCCTGGCCTAAATATTTGTGAATGTGAGGTAGGAGAGTATGCTTTGGTAGGATTTGATCTACTTTAAAAAAAAAAAAAAAGAATTAAGATAAAATTAAGAAAAAGTCAAATAAAAAATTATTATAGGCATATATTAAGAGACTATAACATCTAGCCCCGACATTTTTCCTCCCCTGCAGCCAAGCATCTCCAACTACCTACTGGACATCTCCAAAACTGAATCTACTGTCTTTCCCCCAAAGCCCTCCCATCCTTCCTAAATTGTCTCTTACAATTTTCTGGGTCACACAAATCATCTTACTCCTTTACTCCAGTCTCTGATGAAGAGATGAGTCTACTCCCTTTCAAGGCTAACCCCTTTATGTGTGGGATTGACCCTGTTCCCTCACATGTCCTATAGGAAGCTGTCCATTCAATCATTCCCTCTCCTTCATATTCATTTTTTTTTTAAATAACATTTTTATTATTCCACCCCCCCCAAAAAAAATAAGAAGACCCCACTCCCTCCTTTTGTGTCTGGGAGAACAGGGTTTCCACAGGTGTGGAACAATGCATATATAACTCAGAGGTTTTTGAGATTTTGAATGGTTTTACCGGTTTTTCTCTAGGTGGCACAGTGGATTAAAACACTGGATCTGGAGGTAGGAACACTTGAATTCAAATCCAGCCTCAGACACACACTAGTAGCACAACCATGGGCAAGTTACCTAATTGCCTTAAACTGCCTTAATTTCCTCACTGGTAAAAAAGGAGATAATGACAGCACCAATCTCCCAGGGTTGTTGTAAGGATCAAATGAGATAATATTTGTAAACCTGAAAACCTTAAAATATTATGTAAGCGCTAGTTTTTTTTTTTAATTTTTAAAATAAATTCATTGTTGTATGGCTTCAGGAAAAGGGGAAAGGAATGAGGAGATAAAAGTAATTTTGATTCTACAAAATTAAAGTTTTTTGTACAAAGAAATTTAATGTGGTAAAAAATAGAAGGGAAATATATACCTGAGAGGGAAAAACTTTGCAACAAGTTTCCCTAATAAAGATACATAAGTAATTGATTCAAATACACTACAATGAGATCCATTACCAAATAGATAAATGGTCATAGGACATATAAAGGCAGTTATCAAAGGAAGAAATCAAAGCTATCAACAACCAAACAGAGAGAAAATACTCTAAACTGCCAACAGAGGAATTTAGAGCAAGGAGGTGGTGCAACAGAAAGAATGCCTGGCCTGGAGTCAGAAAGACTCATCTTCCTGACTTCAAATCTAGCCTCAGATACTTACTAGATGTGTAACCCTAGACAAGTCACATAACCCTGTTTGCCTCAGTTCCTCATCCATAAAAAGAACTGGAAAAGGAAATGGCAATCCAATCTGGTATTTTTGTCAAGAAAACACCAAATGGTGGGACAAAGACTTGGATACAACTGAAAAAATAACTGAACAAAGAGAAAAAGAAATTAATGCATCTCTGAAGTTTTGCCTCATATCCATCAGATTGTAAAAGATGTCAAAAAAGTAAAATGATAAATATTAGAGAGGTTATAGGAAAATAAGCTTACTGACTTCCAGGGGATAGAGCCAAGATGGCAGAATAGAGAAAACTGAGCTCTCTCAACATTTCCCTCCAAACAACTTTAAAAAATAATGCCTCAAATCAAATTCTGGAGTGGCAGAGCCAACAAAAGATCAAAGTGAAACCTTCTTCCAGGTCAAGACAACACAGGAGGTTAGAAAGAGAAATCTGTGATACAGTGAAGGAGGCTGGCCTAGAGCCTGCCTAGATGCCAGTGGTGGGACTAGGTGGTGGTGACAGAAACAGAAACAGCTTCGGGAGCTCCCAAGCCAGAGACAATAGGAGACTTGGAAAGTGGTCAAAAAGAGATGACAGAGTACCTCATAGCTAGCACTAGACACAGGACAAGACACTGGTAACTCCATTGCCTATAGGTACTTCTGGGTCACAGTTCAAGGGCAGAGAGAATCAATTTCTGTCAAGAAGGAGTGGATGCCCTAAGGTACCAAGAACCCTGAAAAATAATATCACTTCCCATCCTAACAGAGGAGGGGCCCTGAGGAGAAGTACTGACTGTAACTTCAAGGGATCAAAGATCCTTAATGGGTAAGGACCAATTCCAGTCCAAGAGATCAGTGACCACACCTTTCCCCAAATCACACCAACTTCAAAGTGCTGGAAACTTCCACACCCCCAGAACTAGCTCTGAAAACATCAGTATAAAAATGTCTGAAGCTTGACACAATCACACACACCACACATACACATCCCCAACAGCATTCTGGGAAAGCCCAACATTAACATGAAGTCCAAAATCAAGAAAAAGGATGGAAAAATAAAGAAACAACAACAAAAAGAACCTCACCATAAAAATCTACTATAGTGCAAGGGAAGATAAAGACACAAACTCAGAAGACAATGAAGTCAAAACAGCCACAAGCAAAACCTCAAAGAAAACTGTGAATTGGACATAAGTACAAGAAGAATTCCCAGAAGAGCTTAAAAAAATTATTTTCTTTTTTATTTATTTTATATTTATTTATTTTTAGTTTTTGACATTCACTTCCATAAGATTTTGAGCTTTAAATTTTCTCCTCCCACCCCCACCTCCCCAAGACAGCATACAATCCGATACAGGCTCTACACATATATACATTCATGTTAAGCATATTTTCCCATTAGTCAAGATGTAAAGAACAATTAGAACTAATGGGAGGAACCATGAGAATGATGCAATAAAACAAAACAACAAAGGAAAAGGATAGTAAATAGTATGCTTCCAACTGCATTCAGACTCCATATTTCTTTCTCTGAGTGTGAATAGCAACTTCCATCATGAATCTTTTAGAGTTGTCTTAGATTCTTACATTGCTGTGAAGAGCCAAGTTTATCAAAGTCAGTCATCCCATAATGTGGCTGCCGTTCTCCTGGTTTTGTTCATTTCACTC